TCTCGGAAATACTTGAGCGGGAATTTTGGAAAGAAAGAGCGCTATTGCGGCAGCTATCTTGCTATTTTGAGCGAGCTTGAAAGGCAAGTTGGCGAGGTAAGCCGGCGGGATATGTTACTAGGAAACGCCACTTCAACTTGGGCTTCAACCTCAAACCTTGCACTTCAACAGGGACCTCAACACAGCCGCTTGCCCTTCAGAATTATCCAGGGGGGTTCGCGGGGTACCTCGGTGAACCGAGCCAGGCGGCGGCCGGAGGCCGCCCCCTAGCCGTCGCGGCGGAGGTTGGTCGTGGGGGTGGCGAGGGCGGACATACTCCCTAGTCTTCCGCCTCGTCTTCGGCCTCGTCCTCGGCCTCGTCCTCTGCCTCGTCTTCGGCCTCGTCCTCCGCCTCGTCACGGTCCTCGGCCTCGTCCTCGGCCTCGTCCTCGGCCTCGTCCTCGGCCTCGTCCTCGGCCTCGTCCTCGGCCTCCGCCTCGTCTTCGGCCTCGGCCTCGTCCTCCGCCTCGTCACGGTCCTCAGCCTCGTCCTCCGCTTCGTCTTCGGCCTCGGCCTCGTCCTCCGCCTCGTCCTCCGCCTCGTCACCGTCCTCGGCCTCGTCCTCGACCTCGTCCTCGGCCTCGTCTTCGGCCTCGTCCTCCGCCTCGTCACCGTCCTCGGCCTCGGCCTCGACCTCGTCCTCGGCCTCGTCTTCGGCCTCGTCACGGTCCTCGGCCTCGTCCTCGGCCTCGTCCTCGGCCTCGTCCTCGGCCTCGTCTTCGGCCTCGTCCTCGTCCTCCTTCTCGGCATCGGTACAGCACGCCGACGGGCAGTTCTCGGCCGCCCGTCGATTTTTGTGCACTTGTTTTTCTTGGACACCCAATCGCAATCCTTGTTCGACTTCTTCCAGTACCAAGTCGTGGAATCGGCGGCGCAGCCGGAGGCGTCGTCACCGTCGGCATCATCGCTGCACGTCCCGCACGTCTGAGGGCAATGTACGTCGCCGCCAGCCTTCTCGCACTTCTTCGTCTTCTTCGCGAGCCACGCACACGTCTGCTTCGATTTCTTCCAATACCACGTCGTCGAGTCCGTACCTAGCAGCGAGCAAGGTATTTCGGGCTCAGCTTCAAAGGCTCGCTTCAAAGGCGCTGACTATTGCAGTCTTCTTCAAGCGTGCGCGACGCTCGGAGCGAAGCTTTCGCGGCGGCGGCGCCGGCTGACGTGAAGGATGAGAGGACGACGGCGATGAAGAGCGTGCATTTCATCATGATGTTTTGGGTGGCGGCAGCAGCGTCAGTGGCTCGATTCTCGGCAAGCTCCGGGAAGGCGGCAGTGGCTCGATTCTCGGCAAGCTCACTTACCAATCAACGGACCAAGTTGCAGTGAAATGTATCGCTCGGCTGAAACGTCGTCTTTTGCTCGAGACGATGTGGTTGGCCGGCGGCGCGGGGCTGCGTCCGGGGTTCGGGGCGCCCGAAGGTAGTACACTCTCGCGGCTGCCGGCCGGAATCAGGGCGACGAGCGCGCGGTCTGAAAAGTGTACTACCTTCGAGCACCCAGAACCTCGCCGCGGGGACCGCCTCGCGCGCGCGGGAGAGAGAGGGAAAAATGATCTCAGCTTCTGCGTGTTCCCGAGACGAGCGGGCTGAAGTTCTGGGATGCCCGACCCCGAATTCCCACTGCAAAGTGTGCTCAGTTTCTCTCCCCCTGGCCTGGAACATGCCAAACCCAGCATCAGAGATCGTGCGACCATCATCGACGACGTCCAACCACTTTTCGAAAGTAAACTACTAGGTTCAATAAGTTAATGTTGCGTTCCGGCCAACGATTGGTAAGTGCGGAGCTTGCCGAGAATCGAGCCACTGCCGCCTTCCCGGAGCTTGCCGAGAATCGAGCCACTGACGCCGCCTGCTGCCGCCACCCAAAACATCATGATGAAATGCACGCTCTTCATCGCCGTCGTCCTCTCATCCTTCACGACAGCCGGCGCCGCCGCCGCGAAAGCTTCGCTCCGAGGGTCGCGCACGCTTGAAGAAGACTGCAATAGTCAGCGCCTTTGAAGCGAGCCTTTGAAGCTGAGCCCGAAATACCTTGCTCGCTGCTAGGTACGGACTCGACGACGTGGTATTGGAAGAAATCGAAGCAGACGTGTGCGG